GCTAGGGTAGCACGCAGCGTGTCGTGCCACTCGCGGGGTGCCTACCGCATGCCGTAAACCGGGCGCCGGAGGAGCCACTGGGTTCGAGGCGGGAAGGTAGCGGTGAAGCGCTGTGGACGGCGCAAGTAGACCTGCTCGTGTAGGCTGCCCTGAAGAAAAGCAGGGGAGAAGTCGAGGGAGTGGAGCTCGTAGTCACACTGTGCTGCTACGTGTAGCAGCGCCCGAAGAGTGGTCATCTTTGGGTTCGGGGCGAAGGTCTGAAAGAAGTCCACCCCCTCACGCCGACTGAAGCCTCTAGCCACGTAGCGCGCCTTGAATACAGACGGCTCTCCAGGAGGGCGCTTCACATTGAAGAGCCACCGACCATCGACTACGTTCACCCCAGGTGGGGGAACTGCGTGGACATAGGTGCCGGTGGATCTCCAAGATGCCATCTCCGCGTCCATGGCAGCTATCCACTAACAGGCCCAGGGTCCCGAGGTCGCCTCAGCGTAGGTGCGAGGGGTCGGGATGTCGAGGGCGTCTGGGTCACCCTCAGAGACTAGCAGCATGGAGCAGAGATGAGGCGCAGCCTCGGACAGAAAAGCTAGCTCGTACTGCCTGTCCTCTAGGACATCACTTCCAAGGGCAGGTGCACCCTCGATGGATGGAGTACAGGCAGGGTCAGAGACAAGAGCTGTGGCATAGTCAAGGCGGTGGGTAGAGGCAAAGTCAGCAATGGCAGCGACAAGCGCATCAAGACTGGAGACGGGAACAGACAGGTCGGTAACGAGGGAGGCAAGGACATGAGGAACAAGAGGACTAGCAGGACGAAGGAAGTCAGAGAAAGGAGGTGGCGCGACAACAAGCGACGACGGGGGAGGTGACGAGAAGAGGGAAGGACGAGACGTGTGAGAGCAAAGCAACATAGGGTGAGAGTAGGGAACAGGAGAGATAGGACGAGCATGAGAGGGACGGCGAGACCAGACGTGAGACGGAGGCGTCAAGTTAGGAGACAGAGGAGGAGACACAGGAGGGGAACGAGGGGGAAAACGAGCCGGAGACGATTTCGGCGGAGGATACACAGGGCCGTAGACAGGCAGGGGAGGTGGCGGCGAAGGAGGCGCAGGTGGGGGGTCGGGAGAAGGAAGACCAAGGAGGCGAAAGGCCGACACCGGCGGCGATTACTGATGCTGCGGCTCCACGCTGACACCAGAACCTCCAACTGCACGCCAGCACCCCCAGAACTGGAACCCTCTCCAGCACCAGTGCCACCCCAAGGACCCGTCGACCCCTGTGGCGGCAACGATTGCGGCGACTGCTGCGGCTGCGGCTGCGGCGGTGGCTACTGCGGCGACAGCGGAGGAGGAGACACCAGGGCGGAGACCGGCAGGGAGAACGGAGCCGCGGGGCAACCAGAGGCAGACGACTCCTCGAGCGGGACATCCGACGAGACGAGGGGGAAGCCAAGGAAAGCACAGGGGACTGTGCAGGCAGTGCGCTTGTCAATACCAGAGGCACAAACGTGAGCAAGGTAGCCTCAAACGTGGAACGTAGACGCGTCACCAGGGAACCCGGTCCAGAGAAGGGTCGGCGAATCGTGCGGCCGCTGAGAGTGCAGCCACAGGTTAAGCTGGTTAGCGGTGTAGCAAACAGCGAACATCCATAGAAAATGGGGTGCACCGGCATGGATTATGGAGGTACGGGCCACCTCCATGACCAAACCGATGCATCGCTCAGTGACCCCATTTTGCTGCGGGGAGTCCGACAGGGTGTACGACTGAGTGATGCCCTCCGCACGACAGAACTTGCCAAGCCGACAAGAGGCAAACTCGCCTCCACGGTCAGAGTGGAGACACAACACAGGGAGACTGCGGTGGAGGCACGGGGCTACGACCCACGGGATAAGAATGTCAGGCACGTCTACCTTCCTCTCCAGAAGAAACACCGTGGTTTAGGGCGTGTAGTCTTCGACAAGCACTAGAAAGTAGCGCTCTCGACGCGACCCGTTGACGGAGGCTAGGCCCCATACATACAGGTGCAGGGTTTGTAGTGGCGCAGTGATAGAGCGAAGCGAGGAGGAGTGAGGAGCACGGCGCAGCCGGCCCTCGACGCAAGTTGTGCACAGCGGCGCAGGCGAGGGAGGGAGGGCAGGCAGCGACGCAGGGAGACCTAGGACAAGACCGTATAGGGACATGTGAGGCAGACGCGGGAGTGCAGAGTGACCTAGATGGTGGTGCCACGAGCGACCGACACGAGCAGGCCACGGCGACCTGAGTAAGCGCAGGAACCTGGGGGGACGCCCTCACTAAGGGGGACTCGGTGTCGAAGGTAAACAGGCCAGACCGAGGGTCCCGGGGGAACGTGGTGAGGGGGGTACCTATAGCGGCGTCAGTACAGACTGCATACCGCTCGTATCCAGGGAACGTAGTGGTGACGTCGAGGTCCTGAAGACAGCCGACACCAACTAGGTTCTTGGAGAACGAGGGGATGTGCAGGCCCGTAAGGGAGCCTGAGGGAATCGCCGGACAGGGAAGGGTAGTGGAGCTACGAGCAACTATAGGGTCTGAGGAGGTGTCAACAAGCATGACAGCAGCAGGGGCGGCAAGCGGTGTGAGCTCAGTGTGGTCGTGGAAGAACCAGGCAGACGCGCTCGAGTCAAGCGTGAAGGAGAACAACGCGGAAGGTGCTGCCGATGGAGGAGAGAGCGTGAAGCCTAGACTTAACAAAGCAAAAGGTCCTACGCGTGACGCAGCAGGGGAGTCTAGACTACACCCAGGTGGCACACCTAAACTAGGCAACACAGGGTAATAAGGTCCGGTCACACTAGAGGCATCAGCATACAAGGAACGCAAAGCAGAACAAATCTGATCCATGTCCAACTCAAAAACTGGCACACCGCGGCGCACAAGACTGAACCAGTCGGGGAGGTCCGGCGCCGGGCCGAAGCGGCGGTGAAAGAGGTCATCAAGGCGGCGAAAGCAGCAGATGGTAGGGGCCGCGGAAGGGGCCGGTCTGGAGCTGGTACTGGCAATCCCCAGCGCTGGAGCTGCCGCCCGATGCCGAGCTGCGAGGGCCGCCACCGCGGCCACCTGCACCTGAGGCACCGGGCCACTCCAGCGGGAGGCGGCCCCACAACTGCTGCTGCTGCGGCGGCTGCTGCTGCTCCGGGTCACCAGCCCCGGTCCCCTCTTCGGAACCACTGTCCCCACCCCCACCTCCACCACCCCCACCACCCTGACCTCCACCACGCCCCCCCTTGGGCCAGCGTCCCCTACGCTAACGTAGCTGCGCTGAGGCCGCGGCGGCGGTCTCAGCAGTAGGGGCAGTCTCAACGACAGCGGCAGAAACGTCTGCGTAAGTGCACAACCCTAAAACATAGGGACTGCCGCAGTACCAGTCGACCGAGCGATGGTACACTGGCGAGTCTCTATCTTGGACAGGGCAGCAACAAATGCGGTAAGGGTGAGATCACCGAGGTGCTGACTAAGGAAGTGGTTGCGGGTATTGGCTAAGCGGTGCGAAAGGCGCGTGGCTATGAGGTAAAGGGTAGCGCACAGCGGCGGCAGGAAGACAGTGAGCTGTGCCTCAGTGCTAGCGGCGCGGTAGCTATCCTCGGGTGCACGGAGGTGAGTGGCTAGGTCAGCGACAGTGGGAAAGGCCGCTAGGTCAGGGAAAAGCATTGGGAGGATCAAGCGGCCAGCGGAGGCGAAGGCGAGCGCGGAGTAGCGATCAACTACTGCCTCTAAGAACGCCTGAGCACTTGCTACAGCAGTAAAGCGGGGACGCTCAGACAGGGGGAGGGCATGACTAATGGCAAGTAGCACTACAGCGTCGCGCGAATCCCAGACAGCGCAAGCAAGCGCAGCAGCGGTAAAGGTCTCACGCTCAGCACTGGTGGGGGCGTCAGTGAGGGCAACAGGCGCGGGGGGGCGATGAAGCAAGCCATCGACATGAAACGCCAGGGAGTGGCCATCTTGGCGCTTTTCTGTCAGGTGTCGGCGGAAGTCGACAAGCCAAGCGTCGATCTCGATCGCGCGCCCCTCCGCGTCCATGCGCAGCACAGCTTCCGCCATCGCACGTCCTCAGCGACACGGCGGCACGGGGACACGGTGGCACGTCGACACGGTGGCACGACGACGCGGCTCCACGGCGCCACGGCGGCACTGCGGCACGGCTACACTGCGGCGGGGCTCCACGGCGCTACGGCGGCACTGCGGCACGGCTACACTGCGGCGCGGCTCCACGGATCCACGGCGCGATGCGGTGGCGGCGGGAGGACGGCGGCACGGCAGTGGCACGGCGGCGGCACGGCGACGGCACGGCGACCGCACGGTGGTACGGCGGCACGGCGGCGGCACGGCGAGATGGCGACCGGCGGCGGCGCGGCATGCTGGGGACAGCAGGAACGAGAGCTGGCTTGAACGGGGCCAGCGGGGTGCAAGGGACCAGCAGGGCGCTAGGGGGCCAGCGGGGCAGGAACGGGGCCAGCAAGGTGCATGGGGCCAGCAAGGCCCACGGGGCCAGTAAGGTGCATGGGGCCAGCAAGGGCGCACAGGGGCCAGCGGGGCACGACGAAACCGGTGAGGCGCGGCACTAAGGCTAGGGCGTACGGGGCGGACGGGGCCAAGAGGGCGCTAAGGGGCCTGCAGGGCGTACGGGGCCGGTGGGGCGCACGGGGTAAGCGAGGCTCGACGGGGCCAGCGGGGCGCTAACAGGGCTTGCGAGGCGCACGGGGCTAGCAGGGCACGACAGGGCTAGCGGGGCGTACGGGGCCAAGAGGGCGCTAACGGGCCAGTGGGGCGCTAAGGGAATAGCGGGGCGCTAAGGGAATAGCGGGGCGCTAAGGGAAGGGCGAGGGCAGAAGCGGGTGGGAAGACGGAACCTACTTGATACCATCTCAGAGTAGCGAGATAACTAGAAACAACAGTAGAGAGTACTAACATATTTCATATATGTTGGACACTGAGTTAGTTCATTCTGAGCTTGAATGCGCCACAATTGTGTGAAGGTAACAGAATTCCTCCCTGCAGCATGTATTGGAATGACATAATACAACAATCTTGCTGACGAGATCATGGCTGAACAACTTAAAATGCTACACCAGATATGGACCGAAGGTACAGCTACGTTTTTACTTCATCCTTTTCATGGTGGCTGCAAAAACACTTCTTGTGGTAAGTGCTGATTTTCCGTTCTTTTGGCACTGGCCGCCTCGGACCCGTAGCAGGCAAGCCAGCGCGTCTTGCTGGTGAATTCGGACTGGATGACATACTTGACTGCCCCTGCCAGCGTTTTCGTGGAGAGCTTGTTTTGGGGCTGTATGTTGAGGCGTGGGCATCATCCTACTCGTGAATGAAAACAATGGACATGGGGGAAGGGAAGGGAGGGAAGGTTGCAGGGGGGAAGGGGAGGTGGGTGGATGGGGGGTTGAGGGAGGCAGTTGTAACAGACAAAAAGATGAATATATCACCAGTCAAAACCTGGTTCACACACCTTGGCACGAGCTTTGGAAGAGGGCGAGTCAGGTGATCCTTGCAGAACAGTGTTTCCAGATGGATAGGCAAACGCTTCAGCCTCGGCAATCAAATCCGCATCTGAATTGAGGCAGCCTACTGCCTTGGGCGTTGAAAGCATGCCGGCTGACATTGCTTCACAGATGATAGCAGCTACACTCCCCCCTGCATTTAGCTCAGGAAGTTGAGAAACAACATCTTCCACTTGATCTGGCGTGCCCCTATCTGTTGCTTCTTGATTTGCAGGCACATTCCCCGCGTGCAAGTGCAACTCCTCTTCCCTTTCATCTGGGCAGTCAGCAACTTCCCCAGTATCATCCGAACCAAATGACATGTCTGGACGCGATAGTGAACCCGCTGGATCAGTATTGGCCCGATTTAATCTTGAATGGACAGTGCGTGTTGCAGCTCTGATAACTGATTGTGCAAATCTTGGACTCCCGTTTGGAGTAGTGATAGCTTCCTTCAGCTTCATATCAATGTAGGATGACAGCGAGCTATCCAGAGGAACACCCTGAAGAGCACACAGTTGGGCATTCAACCCAAATTCCAGCTTGCCCAATTTGAACTAGAGGGCACCGCTTACCTTCTGAACAGCTACATCAAGCAACTCCTCAATGTCAACGTCTGAAGCTTGAAGTAGCATCCAGAGGCTGTTCAATGCTGAGGATTTCTCTTCTATCAGCTGATCTCTTAGAGCCAGTTGGAATTGCACCTCTGTCATTGCCACACTCTGTAGGCAGAAACAAATAACTGAGAAACGGCTAGGGAAAAAAACACTTTCAGACAATCCATGAGAACTCACCAAGAATCGGAACTGGTGAAGGATGTGCAGAAATGAGGATTTCTCATTGTTACTGACAAACGAGTCCAGCCGTTGCTGAAGAAGCTCACGTTCTGCCTCATTCTTGCTGATGTCCTGAAATAAGGCAAAAGTCAACTCGAGCACCCTCTTTGAGTGCCTGAAGATCTTTCGTCCACATACCTCTGCATATTCCCTTTTCAGCTTCTCATTATCCCGTATGCTTTCTAAAACTGCTGTTCTTCGATGATGCAATCCTTCCAGCTTCGTAAAAGCATCCTCGTTCTGGATGGAAACACGGCTGTAATTTTCCACCAATAACGTTTTGAATCTCAGCACAGGAAAAAAAAAAAAACAATACCTGAATAATGGCTATCTTCTGGTCCAGTCGTCCAAGTTCATCAGCAGCCCTCTTCAAACAATCGTTAAGCTCACACATGGCCTTTTGCATGTTAATTCGCTCCTGGACATTCTCATTGAGCTGGCCACTTATGTCGTCTAGCCACGACGTGCCAGCAGGACCACAAACAGAGTTCATACTGGAAGAGGAGACTGCTTGCCCAGCCAGCTGACCCTTCAGCATGCTTACTTCCTCCTGGATAGCAAAAGCATGAGACCGTGACCCACATTCACAAACGTAACAGTACATATAAGGACGTACCTGAAGCTTCTCAATCATCTTCAGGTAGTCGGCTGACTGAGAGTCCACAGTTCGCACATTGGTCTGTAATTGTTACAAGTTAGCCAACTTGAGCGTGGAACGAAAGGGCAGCACATGCCAGACTTACCCTGAGACGTGTCTTGATCTCTTTCGCACGGTCAGCATATTTCAGAGTGTTGATGATGTGATGATATTGATCAGCAGCAGGACATATTGTAGCCACCATTGTAGTCCGTGAATTGCCACTAAGGCCATCTTTCAACAATCTTGTCAGCTTGCTGCACAGAACCACATAAATTTGTTCAGATTTGAGCCAAATGCCTGCATGTCTCAATCCCGAAAGTACCTGTTTCTGTAAGGAACGTATCCGACCCCTCGCTTCTGTTGCTGGCAGAGTGCGTTGATGCAGTTGGAAAGTGCAAGAAGAGACTTGTTAATGTTCGCACCATCCCTTAATTGTTGTCCCATGTTGTTAGTCTCTGAAGCTCGTTCACTGTAACGTGTGTCAATACTCGTGCGCAAGATGACATGGAATGGAAGAGCCCGATCCATACCTTCCAGCCAAATCCACCAAGCACAGCTTCGCTCCCATAACGCGTTCGGCTGAGTGCGACGAGACCACTCTCTTAACATCAATTTGTAGGACAGCATGGGACCTGAACGACCCAAACTCGTGTTAATTGGGCACAAGCTATGTGCGGCTTGACAATTTGAGATCAGTACCTTGATGATGTCAGGTTGGCATCCGTACTCTCAGTTTTGCGCCGAAGATTCCCCTGTCTCAACAAGTCCAATATCTTTCCTGCCGATTGAACCTGCAAAACTTGTGATTACAAGAAGCTTGAGGCCTAAACGTGCGTGCTGTCATTACCTTAACACGCTTTAAACCAGCAACAGAAACTCCTTGGCCAGGATCTTCTCTCAACTCCAAGCTTCCAGATGATTCCACCAAGAGGTCATATATGATCTGCCAAAAGAATCCAATGTTGTGACGGATTGTGGCTTGCAGATGCGACTGTAATGACCAGTCAGCTGACCTCATTGTAAATTTCAAGGTATGAGCACGAAATGTCAACGCTCTCGTCTGTGCTAACTTGCATGCCATTCACAAAATTGAAGATGTCATTGAAACCAAGCACCATGAGTCCCGGATCTTCGTCATTGCCAACCATCGACCATGTCTTTCCGCTGCAGCATACTAGCGTTAGCATTTTCAAGGAGCTGGGCGAAAGACAGAAGTCGTTAGTTTTCTCACCTTCCAGTTGCACCATAGGCGAAGACCTGTCATCAGACGTACGTGTTAGCACTTGGCGAATTGCCATGCGAATAGACTTTCAAAACTTACGGTCGCATTCAGACCCTCTGTAAGGCCCTTGATCAGTGGCTGAACCGTGTAAGCGTAGATTTCCTGCACAGGGGAGTCATGCGTTATCGCTTTTCCGAAGTCCTTACGATGGAACTTTTGGCGAATTCGGAACCCACCAGATTGGACGAAACGCCGTCAAAAGCCCTGTCAAACGAGAAGTGCTTCTCTTTGGTTCTGTGTTGAATCTTATCGAGATATTGCTTGTCCAAGTCCGGATCCAACACAATGACTGTCTGTAAGTGATTAGCAGGTCAATAGAATGCAGTAAGGAAACTTTGACAGCGTGGGTGCGCAAGCATCACCTTGTCATCCAGTACACGAACAATGTCGTGCCTGCTCCTGCCAATATCCCTATTGTTCAATGGCCGCACCCTCACTACGACCTGAATTTACCGTCAGAAGAACGAGAGTTAGACAAGTACACTGCACGGCGTTTCAGAACCACATGAGAGACTGTTAAACATCAGCAGCTGACCTGTAATGACCTCTGCTTTGAGGCTGTGAGTACAGGTTTCATCGTGTCAATTGATTCTATCCCAGAACCTCACTGACGTAGCATGAGTGTTCTGTCTGTGCTTGGAGAGTGTGGACTGTGTTGTAATACCTGCCATAGATTGGCAGTCCATTTCTTGGCTGGAGGTGCCTCGACGGGGGCAGCCAAGGGGCTGAGCAGCTGGAACTGGACGACGAAAATGCGAGTACAGTTGTGATTGTTGCTAAAACATCTACTTATGAAACAGTACACTGATTAAAAGCTTGTGCACTATACAAAACAATGCAATGGTCATATGATTCTTTACAAATTAACAAATGGAAACGCTGATATTGAAGGACATTTGAGTCTTTCACACCAACAAATGGAGATGCGAAGGCCTAGAGAAACAAGCTTAGACACAACAGAACCTTGCCAACTAGGCCACCAAAACACCCTCTGCACGTATAGGCCCCACTGTCCCAGGACCATCTCCCTGAAAGTCCTCCTGCACGCAGAAGCAACAGAGTGTTTATAAAGAAAAACCACTTTTGACCACCTCGAACTTTAACTCTCAAGAAGACTCACGGGGTTATAGATGACTGTGATGTAGAGAGAGCAGCTTGGACATCTTGCAATCTCCTCTCCGTTCTTCAGCTCCTCCTGCCAATGAAGAATAAAAGAACCGCAGTGTCGATTGTCGTATGGAGAATGAAAGGGTGCGCAAGAGATGGTGATGGGGTACGAGTAGTACTGATAAAAGAGAAATAAGGGGAAAGAAATGGAAGCACCGCTCTGAGGAAGGGGCAGCACAAATGCTCACGAGGGAAATCTGGAAGAGGTCGCCACAAGGACAGGAATAGGTGAACGCCCCCAAATCCTCGTTCCATTGCATATCCTCAATCTCCACCTCGTCGTACGACATGGCGAACGCAGACAGTAGCACAGCAAGGTCGCAGCGAATAGCACTCGACAAGGCTCACAACAACGGAAGTACGACACGATCAGAGGGGTCCGGAGGGGCGAATGCTGATAAGGGGGGCTAGCGCTGCTTCGGACACGCAAAAGAGGATTGGGATGAAACAGACGACCAGGGAAGGAGCGCAACCCTGGAGCGTCGACGAAAGGCACGTCAGCGTGCGCTCAATAAGAGCCCCTCAGACGACTCTCTCCAAAGAGGGGCTTGCGCCTTGGCTGCTCGTAGCGACTTAACGATAAAGTCGGGCACCTATACAGGATCGCACACTGGGAAAGATAGATTTCGGGACGGAAATGCCGCAATATAGAGGGCGCTTCGTGGTTGCGTGAAACGGGGTTGTTGCGGGAAAAATCCGAATTAGGGTTCCGCGAACGTCTGGTTCTCAAACCATCGACTTCTGTACTGAACTGCAGCTTGTTCATGCATGTCGCCTACGACCAACAACGAGGACCTCGTTATAGAAGGAATGCGCCATGAGCAATTGGTTTTGTTAAAGAAGATACAGTTCCAACATTTACATGGCAAACAGACGAAAATATTCTGATCCAGCCAGAAAGTAGCATTCCTGCCAGACCAAGTCATTTCTGCCAGAAGCCACAGCATACACGTAAGTTGCTCTCTACGACTTGCCTAAACGTGGCGCGCATGCCGAGCGTCACTTCAAGCTCACCGCAGCTGCGAACCCTAGCCTATCTCGTTGGCGCTCGCCGATCAGATGGCGCTTCGTACAGAGAAGCCTTTGCGCGAACAGCCGCCTCCTCGCCACTCGCGGAACTTATTTTGGTTCGCGCTGGGATTCTCAGTCGCTACACATGACCAGCCTGACCGATACCACGCGAATCTTCCCCACTGGTTTCTAGAGCCGGTCATCTTTCTCCAGCAGTCTTGTCATTTCCTGCAGAGAGCAAAGAGCTAGATAGCCATGTCTCTACCGACTGGAGCTCGTCTCGCGTACGTGATTCTGTATGTGGAGGACATCGACGCAGCGGTGAAGTTCTACAAGGACGTGTTCATGTTCGACGTGAGGCGCGTGGACAACAGCAGAAGGTAATCAGAGAGTCTATTACGATCTCTGTCCACCCAAATATTCTGTGCGCTGCTAAATGTGCTTCATCAGGAATTATTTTTATATCTTTGCGTCCATCACGCTCTAAGATGCTCCTGTTATTCGACAGATGGGCCGAATTGGAGACCGGATCAACGACGCTGGCGTTTACCCCGCTGGAGCAAAGGGAGACGAAGATCACAGGCGGCGTGCATGTGCCTGATGAGAGGAGCAGCGGCAGAACGTGGAAATCAGCATCAGCGTGTTTGATGTCAGAGACACGTACGAGGTACGGTCATGGCTAGATATCACTGTTCGCCTTGGCTTTGATCCATTGTTTCCCCACATATCTTTTTTACTTGTGGGCTGTTTGACCTATTTCCTTGCAATCCGTCTTCTGCAGAGAGCCCTAAAGGCAGGAGCAAAGGAGGTTGCTAAACCAGAGCAGAAGGAATGGGGCCAGACTGTGGGGTACCTTCGTGATCCCTTTGGCATCACTGTCCGCCTTGGCTCACACTTATCCTCCTCCTGATCCGTGGATTCAGCCTGTTACGGTATTCTAGGAGGGAATTGTTGTGATCACTTGGGACAGGTCCAGGAGGGGAAGTTGGGTGATTACTGGGTGATTCGTGAGTGACATGCTGAAGATGCTTTCTTGTAGGGAATGTGCATCTGCTTACAATGCATCTGGTCTGGGGATGTCAGCCAGGTGCTGTTAGCCAGCCACAGCGGAAGGAGAATGAAAGAAGTTACCTCTTGGTTATTACTCACAGTCACAGTACAATTATTTATGTTTCAAATGAGCAAGACAGAATTGAATGCGATGAAGAACGAACAATTCCACCCACCGACACTTCAAACCATGAGAAAGGACGCAACCAGCCAATATCTGTTCTGTTTCATGTCAACCCCTGTACACAAAACGAGTCAGCAAACTTCCACCCAGAGCAATGTTTCTCACTCCAATATGCTAGAACGAGTGGTGACCATACTCACATCACTCCTTGTGCGCAAAGTGAGGCATCCAGCAGAGCAATGCCAATCCCCGACCCATTACTAGACAGTATGCTCACAGAAACCCCCACCTCCTCCCCTCAAATCCCCAATCCCCGACCCATCCCTCGTGCATCACTCCTTATAGGTATACTGAATGTGAGGCAGCAAGCAGAGCAGAGCTGGTACCCGACCGTCTTTGGACAGCTTCACGCTCACAAACCCCGCCACCTCCTTCCTCCCCCAACAGCTCCTTGAGCGTCTCGTGAATGGCCTCACATGCTCGAACCGTGTATGTGCTATGATTACTCCTTGTATGCCGAGTGTGAGGCAGCCAGCAGAGCAGCGCCAATCCCCGACCCATCCTTGGACAGCTTCATGCTCACAAACCCCGCCACCTCCTCCCCCAGCAGCTCCTTGAGCGTCTCGTGAATGGCCTCCCGGAATGGAGTGTAGTGCTCGTACATGCCGCCATCCACCGCCACCACTGTCCGCGGCACATGCCCCAGAGCAGCTTCTGCTGCTGCTTCTCCTGCCCCTGCTGCTGCTGCTGCTGCTGCTGCTGCTGCATCACCATCAACAGCTGATGCTTCTGCTTCTCCTTCAGGAGCCTTTGCCTGTGCGTTTGCCTGTGCGTTTGCCTGTGCGTTTGCCTGTGCGTTTGCCTGTGCGTTCGCCGGTGCTTTCCCGTCGCGCCCCAGCTTCTGCAGCACGCCCACGATGCCAGCAGCCACGAGGCGGGCGCCTCTCTCCCCCATGATGCGGCACACCTCCTGCACTGCCTGGCGCTGCGACAATGAGGTGTCTGGGAGCTGCATGGGGGGAGAGTGGGAAGAGTTGGAAGAAGGAGATAAATTTGAGGCGGTGCTTTTGCCTGTGCGTTTGCCTGTGCGTTCGCCAGGGCTTGCCCATCCCGGCCCAGCTTCTGCAGCACGCCCACGATGCCAGCAGCCACGAGGCGGGCGCCTCTCTCCCCCATGATGCGGCACACCTCCTGCACCGCCTGGCGCTGGCTGAGAGACGTGTCTGGGAGCTGCACGGGGGAGATGCAGCACACGTCCGGCACTGCCTGGTGCTGCGGCAGCGAGGTGCCTGGGAGCTGCTAGCCGGGAGAATGGAAAGAGGGCATGACCTTAGATAAAAGCAGCCTGAGAGAAACACTGACCCACGATGCAGCACACCTCCTGCACTGCCTGCCTGGCACAAGGAAGGATTGCGAGGTGGCTGGGAGCCGCACACAACTTGAATGGGTAGAGAGCAGTGTTCATATCGGCTTCAGGTACGACCAGACCGAAAGTGTGAAGCGACCCAGAGGAAACGTTATTGGGCGGATTGCAAAGCTCGGGAGTGGGAAATGGGAAGAGACGATTCTTGGGCAGATTGCAAAAAGGCTTGGCAGTGGAAGGTGTGACAGCATGAAAGAACAGACGAGAACTGAACCCCACGTCAGACTAAGGAAATTTTTGAGAACCGAGGCGACTCAAAAATCACCTGCATGAAAGAACAGATGAGAACTGAACCCCAAGTCAGAGTAAGGAAGAGCAGAAACGAGGATGCAGAAAAATGTAAGAGCATATATGGCTCGGATAACTACAAGTGCGCCGCACACACCTCAAGCTCCTCTGCAAAAACAGATCCGACTTTTGCAAGGTCTGGAGAGGTGTCTTCATGAATGATTGCCACTTTAGGGGTTCTGCACTCCACAAGACAGGAAGGAAGAAACCGGAAAGTAATTAGGCCATAATTAGCCCACAACAGACACACACCAAGAGGGCATAATTAGGCCAACCAGGCCAGTGTCAATTGTATAGAACAAAGAAAGAGGGGGATGAAGAAAATAAGGCACGGAGGAATGTTAAAAAAAACACTGGATTGGTTTCACAATAGAATGAATAATTGCCACTGTAACTAACCAGGATAACCTCGCCATTGCTGTAACCAGGATAATTTATTACTGGAGAGAGTTGGGTTGGGGCAGCTTAGGGGGGCCAGGGAAGCCAAAGCGGTGACTTTTGAGTCAACCCGAGAGAACACCACTTGGTGGTGGTTTTAGCCATACGTGGCAACGGGCTTGTAGAACGTTATTTTTGAGTCGACCCGAGAGAACACCACTTGGTGGTGGTTTTAGCCATACGTGGCAGCGGGCTTGTAGAACGTTATTTTTGAGTCGACTCAAAAAAAGCCAAAGCGGTGACTTTTGAGTCAACCCAAAAAACACCTCGATGCTGCGGTGACCAGAATGATGTCCCCCTGCTGTAGCCAGAATGAGATCGCCCCTGCTGTGACCAGAATGAGATCGCCCCTGCTGTGACCAGGACGATGCCTTACGGGAGAGAGTTGGGTTGAAGCAGCTTAGGAGGGACAGGGTCGCCAAAGAGGTGAGACTTCTGAGAGATGTCCAGCAGCGCCAGTCGCACCACCTCGCCCACATACATGCCTGAGATCATCTTCTCGTAGCGCTGTTACACGCAACAGCAGTGGGGAGGAGCATGCATGTCAGTCAGCAATGGGGTCAATCAATAGCAGCAGGTAAGAGACAAAGGCAACACCTGCAGCAGCATTGGGGAAGCATGTGGATTAACATCGAGGCAAAGCTTTAGCGCCAGATAAGAGATAGATGCGACACATGTATCGGGGGGGGGGGGGGAATATTTACCACAAAATGGTAACTACAAGATGAATGGGCTGTTTTTATTCGAGACTGCAAGTGAAGTTATACACGGATATGAACTGCACTATGGGGCGTATATAACCTCACCTGCTGACCGCAGTTGGCACTCTTGGAGTCCAGAAGGTCGTCATATTCGGTAATGGGCAGATGGCCCGACCAGAAGTTGCCCCACTCCATGTTGATCACCTGTGTGACAGCGGCAGGGAGGGGAATAGAGAGGGGTGGGGTGGGGTGGGGTGGGGTGGGGGTTGTTGTGTGTCAGAGCAAGTAGTTCCCGCATGTTGATCACCTGATATCAAGGGCGGGGAGGGGTGGGGGAGGGGGAAGGAAGTGCGTTTGTGTGTCAGAGCAAGTAGTTTCGGCACACTATGTTGCTGGCTGGACCACAAGTTCCCCCACTACAATTGTAATGAGTCGATTCTTGAGTCGACTAAAAAATCGACTCATTACACGCTGGCCGGACCACAAGTTCTCCCACTCCATATGTTGATCACCTCATGTGAAGGGGTTCGGGGAGGGGAGGGGGCGCGTGTATTAATAGGGGGAGTGTGTGTGAGTACGTACTTTGGTGTCAGGGACCTCCTCACAGCACGCATTGGAGCCAGTGAGGAGTCTATTTTTTAGGCGCCTCAAAAAAGGGGGCGGATATATTAATAGGGGGAGTGTGTGTGAGTATGTACTTTGGTGTCAGGGACCTCCTCACAGCACGCATTGGAGCCAGTGCCGAGAATACCAGCGGTCAGTCAACTCACAAGACACGCGATTAGAAGTTGCAGTGTGTGTAACAAGGGGTGTAACAACATGCAACGACATGTGGCGTTACCATGCGGCCCGAGGCTGGTGGGGGCCGGTCTGCCTGACGCTGGTGTCATGGATCTCCTCGTAGCACGCGTTGGAGCCGGTGCCCAGAATCACGCCCAGCATCACATCGGACTCCACAAACCGAGCTCCCGCCAGCGTGCCAACCGCATCGTTCACCTGCCACAGACAGGAATGCATGTTACCAGATGTGAGGAGTCTATTTTTGAGGCGCCTCAAAACCATGCGTGAGGAGTCTATTTTTGAGGCGCCTCAAAAATAGACAGCTCCCGCCAGCGTGCCAACCGCATCGTTCACCTGCCATAGACAGGAATGCATGTTACCAGATATGGAATACCAATGCGCCTACCCGTCGGAGGTCTTCTAATAGGGTGGACTGAAACGAGATCGCGGTGAACCGGGAAGACGAGGAAATGTCGGAACAGCCACCTTATGCAGTAATTATAAAGCCAAGATTAGGAATCGTAATCTCACCAGTGCAGTGACTTTCATGTCAAGCTTCTGGCGTTCAAGAGCCTCCTCTAGTACCTGGACCACGTCCCTTCCCTCCTGCATGGTCAACAGCAAGCATGTGAATTGAATAACACGAAGTTCAGAACATGCTTACTTTTTTAGGCGCCTCAAAAATAGACTCCTCATGCTTACTTTTGACACTCACAAGCCAGACAGATATGAATGATATTCATGGTGATTAAAGGAGCATCAAATACTTGGAATCGACAGAACCATCACGATTCTAAAACGCCGAGCACCGAATCTGTGCGTTGCAACAGTTAGCCTTTAGTTAACGACACGTGTGAGATGCACCTCGTGCCGTACTCACAGTCTCAGGAATGTTGAAGCCCTTGGTCCACATGATCAGCCTCCCCCAACCTGTGCTCAACTTCCGCTG